AATTGGCTTACGACTAAGTTTGGGTGCTTTGCCACTAAATAAACTTAGGTAAAATAGAAAGGGGGCACTTTCTTAACTTCCATAAAACTTTATGCTAATGTATAGAATTTCATTTTTCTCTATTAAATTCTTAGTTTTTGGTGCTTCTTGTCAGTACAATCTTCTCGGATTGTATTTGATTTGACACATTATGTATTTACTTATTTTACGATGAATATAACGTTACTCCTCGGTGGTCTGCAAAGCAGTCACCCAGAACTGGTGCTCTAACCCCTGGGACTCTCTAAGCCAGACCATGACAAAGGCTGCCTGCCAGGTTTCAACGAAACTTAGACCAAGAATTTACACACCTCACAGGGGTGCCCTAAGGAATAAATGAGATAAAAAGTCTGCCGGGGAGAGGGAACCCCGAGGCCCTATTAGAAATGCTAATTGTTTCCTTCTCTAGCTTCCTATTAAAATGTTAGAAAACCAAGAGACTGACTCTTCTGAACGGGGTGGGGATGCTCGGCTGCTCTGTGGCTTAGTAAGCGGCCCCAGCTGCTCTACTAGGGCCAGCCGACCGCAATTCCGTCCCGACGGAGGTGGCGGGTGGGGGGTTCCTCAGCGGCACTCTGGACGCCACTCGGCCAAGGAGGCAGCGCGGTTCGCCTGTTGGCCCCAGACTGTGTGGGAGGCAAAAGGTGAACCTCAAAGCCTCTCTGTCTCGGGCTTCACATCTCGCGCCTCCGCGGGCGTCGAGGCGGCCCCAGGAACCTCCGCAGATGGACTGGGCTTTAGGGATCCCCGAAGCCGGACTGCAAGGCCTCTCACCAGCCCTAGCCGCTCACCTCCAGGCCGGAGCCATAGACTCAGCTCCGGGGGCGGGGAGGTGAGACCCGGGGGTAAAGGGAGTCTCAGCTCGGCGGGGGGCGGGGAAGCCCCCCCAGAGGAAGGTCTTACATCAGCCGCCCCACGTGCAACCGGAGGCAGGCAGGGAGGAAGTCACTCCTTTCCTCGGGCTGCGCCTTTCCCCCAGCCTCCGCCCCGCCCGCCGCGCGTCTCCCCGCCCCGTCTTTGGTGCAGTCACGGCCGCCGAGCCGAGCGGCGCCGCGCGGTGCCGAGTGGAGCCGAGCAGCTGCCGCGCCGCGTCGCCGGTTTAAGCGCAGTGCGGGCCGCGGCCGGGGGCGGCAGTAGTGAGCCCAGTGCTGCGCTCCAGCCCCCTTTTCCCTCCATGGTTTCTCTCCGCTCCCGTGAGTAACTTGGCTCCGGGGGCTCCGCTCGCCTGCCCGCACGCCGCCAGCCGCACAGGACCGCGCCGCCGGCCTCCGCCGCGAGCAAACCCTTCCGACGGCCCTCGCTGCGCAGGCCGGGACGCCTCTCCCCCCTCCGCCCCCGCCGCGGAAAGTTAAGTTTGAAGAGGGGGGAAGAGGGGAACATGGACATGAAGAGGAGGATCCACCTGGAGCTGAGGAACCGGACCCCGGCAGCAGTAAGCAGAGCCCCCTCCGGGCGCCCTCTCCCCCGATGACTTGCATGTAATGGTGGCCACCTGCGGGGCCCGGGCCGAGGGTTCGCCGGCCCCGGCGCGGGGAAGAGCGCAGCTCGTGTGCTCGGACGGGGAAGGCGGGCGAACGGGCGGGCGCGGAGGGGGGAGCGAGCGCGCAGGAATTAACTCTTTGCCGCCCGCGGGCCCCCGGGGCGGCTGGGGGAAGGCAGCGGTGTGGGGGAAAGCAAACTTTGCGCGCCTCGCCCGCCGGGGTCTTTCCCTGGAGGGAGCGCGTGTGCGAGTGGCCGGCGGCGAGGGAGGGAGGCGGGGGTTGTGTAACGCTGGGAGCCATGTTTGCAGCCTCCCGGGATGCGCGACCAGGCGGAGGCCGGGCCTGCCGAGGAGCTGCGCGGCCAACCCCGCCTGGGTCAGGCCAGGTTCCGCGCGCCCCAGGCCGGCCGGGGAAGGGGCGCGGGTGGGGCTGGGCGGGGGCTCCTCTGGCTGGGGCTCGCTGTGGGCGCTGGCCCAGCCGAGGGCAGCGGCCTTGGGGCGAGGAGGGGGCTTTTTTTCCTTTGAAGGGAGCGAGAAGCCCCCTCGGGCGCCTGAGCGGGCGCGGCCTGGAGCGCAGAGCGGGGGAGGGGCGGGTCCAGGCGGCGGAGGTGGCGCAACCGCCGCCCCTCCCGAGGCCAAGTTTGAAAAAAGAACGCGGTTCCCGCCATTTTTCAAGCCTAAAAATAAAACTTTCTCCCGTTTCCCTCGCTCCTTCTTCGCTGTCTGCCTTGACCACTCCGGCCTCCCAGGGGCAACCCAGGTCGACCGGAGGCAACCGTTGTGACGACGGCTTCGCCTTTTCCCCGCGCCGCGGCGACGGAGCCCGGGGCCCCTACCCCTGCCCTGGGAGGCTGGCCCCTCGGTGTGGGCGGAGGTGGCTCCTCACGCTAGCCCGGGCGCGCCACAGGCCGCCGCAGCGCCATGTTGGCGGGTGCCCGTCTCCCTCCGCCGGGTGAGCGGGCCCGCGAGCTCGGCCGTGCCCGCCCGCCCTCGACGCTGGCTGTCGGCCGCCTCTTCCCGCGCCGAGCTCTCGGTCTGTGTCCCCTAGCCCTGCAGGGGCTTGGCTCGCACTGGCGGGAGCCGCGAACCGCGGCAGCCGCCGACTCATCCCCTCGCGGGCGCGCTGCCGACCCCCTCCCCCCTTCTTAAAAGGGCAACGGCAAGCGGCCGCCCTCGCGGCGGGTCGGGCGCTCTGGATTTCGGGCGGGCCTCTGCTGGGCTCGGCTCGTGGACTAGGTGGCCTCTGGCCTCCCACGTGCTCGAGCGGCCCGTTGCGGCCGCCCGCGCGCCATCCGGGGTGTAGACCGAGGCCCGCGCTAGTGCCGTGAGGCTGCGTGGGCGTGGGTTCGGCCTGTGGGAATCGACCCTTCCGTCTCCCGGGTTTGGCGCGGCTGCCCACCGGCGCGGGGCCAGTTAGTGCCGAGGGCCTCCCGCCACGCTCCGGGCTAGCGAGCAGCCGGGTTTCGCGTCCTCAGGCGTCTGTGGTTAACAAATCGCGAACTTGTGGGAATTCGTCGACCAGGGTTTACCTGGTGTGCTCGACGTTTTATATCCTTGCTCCCTAGTCCTTGAGGTCACCAGTAACTTGGGGCGGGCCGGGATCCACCGCAGGGCACTGTCGCTCCCGGCGGGACTGCGAGGGTGGGCGGTTCCGGGGGTTCCGAGATGGAGGGTCGCGGGCGGGCGTTCTTCCGACCTTCCGTCAGACATTTTGTGCCCGCCACGTGCTTGCCTGTCGCATGGGTGCCCAGCTCACGCCGGAAAACTTGAGGAGAGGCGTTGTCGCCTTGAGGTGTTCATTCCAGACTTTTCCATTGCGGCGTAATTGCAAATCCGTATAATACGGAGTAGCTAAAATTAGCCAAAGTGGCTGCAAGAGAAGTACATACGTGGGTCTTCAGAAATGCTTTAAAATCTAGGATTTGAATTCTTTGGGACATGGTCAAACTAAAGGTCTGTAAAATTCTCCAGAGTAGAGTTCCTTCTGGGAAATACAGTTCCTCTGCTGTTCCCGTTAGATGATGTTTTCATATATGAAGGAATATTGCTTTAAAAATCCATCTATATCTGCAGATGTTTTTTTTTGTTTGTTTTTGAGACGGAGTCTTGCTGTCATCCAGGCTGGAGTGCAGCGGTACGATCTCGGCTCTCTACCTCCCGGGTTCAGATTCTCCTGCCTCACCTTCCCGAGTAGCATTTTTAGTACAGACAGAGTTTTTCCTTGTTGATCAGGCTGGTCTTGAACTCCCGATCTCAGGTGATCCACCGGCCTCGACCTCCCAAAGTGCTGGGATTACAGGCGTGAGTGAGCCACCGCGCCTGACCGGGTGTTCATTATCGAGGTAATCAACTTAACCCTCTTGCCAGTCAGGCCAGGGCCATTTAATTCAGTTAAATTAAAACATTTTCTCGGTCATAACTATCCACATTTCAGGTGCTCAAATGTGATAAGTGGCTCGTGGGTGGTGCGCTGGGCACCACTGGCCTGCAGAATCCACTGCTTTATTAAGGAAACATTTGAAGCCTGAGAACCCATTGAGATGGCGTAGTGCCTTTTGCACTTGGGAGAGTTTGTGAGGCCTTGACAGTGGGTTGCCAGAGCTTGTGGAGATTGTGCAGGTAGAGGAAGATTCTCTTAGGGACTCCAATGGGAGATTGAGACCAGTGGGAGTTAGGTACCCAGTTGGGCGAATAAAATTTTGACCTAAAACCGCAGGGTTTTCAGGAAAACATGCTGTAGATTTTGAAGTGAATTCTGTAGGGTTTAAAGTGTTTTCTGCAGGGGCATCGTCCTTAAGGCAAACAAAAAGTTCCAAGATAACTCCTTTAAAATAACATTCAGCTAGTCACATACCTTATTTGTGATGTGCTAAAACATAACAAACACCACAGAAATTGGTTGCATTGTCAGCTGTTGCACATTGGGCTTGGCCTCTGGGATCCAGCAGACTTGTCATTTGGGAAAACATGAAGAAGCCATTCCCCAGTTAAAGGTAGTATCCTGTACTGTTGTAGTATGAATGGGATGCTCTGAAATAAATACACAGCAGTGCCCCATGGTTGATCCTAATGATTTTAAAGTCAAGTGAGATGGAAGAGTGTTTGAAAAGGGTTGAGTAGGGGTTTAATTGTAAATGTGTTCTTTTGTTTAAGACTAGATGGGCTTTTACTGTGTATATGGATTTTTGTTTTTTAAATTGGAGTTTGAAGAAGACCCTAGTAACACTTTTGTTCAGTTGGGCTCATGTATTGTGACAAAGGACAACAGGGTAAACACAAAACTGTTACTAGGATCTTCTTCAGTTCACCTATTACTGTATCCCTATTCCTAATAAACAGAAGTCTAAGTCCAAAACAGCGCTTATATCAGGGTGCATTCTCATAGTGGAACAAAATGGCCTAAGATGGCATTTTAAAGTAATCTTCATGAAAAATGGTGGTTACCATTTAAAAACATTTTATAGACAAGGATAGGAGACATTTTGTTTGACAAGGAAGTATTTTATATAAAATATTGTCAGTTCACTGAGAGTAAATTAAACCGTGCTGGAATATACCACATATACACCATGGAAACTGGAGGTCTTGTCAGTAAGATGAGAAGACACAGACATGGAGTAGCAAGATATAAACCACATTTAGTTGTATTCCAGAATTAGAAAAGAATACCTTTTCTTTATGTGGGATTCTTATCCTTCCATTAAACTGACGGTGTGCTCTGTTGGAAGCACCCCATTAACCATACATCTGGGGACAATCAGCCTTCCTATCAGCTCTGAGTTTTTCATTCAAAGTTAGAAAGCCAAGCAGTTCCTTACTGTAGCTTGCAATCTATGCCCCTGCGAAATGCTGGTGTGCTGTATGCTGGACTGTTGACATTTCATGTACCAAAATAAAAGCAGTCTTAACGTAGTCCCAGTTTACTGGGAAAAAATGTAGATTGTCTTTAACTTTCATCTTATTTTGATCCACGCCCCCCCCCCCCCAGCTTTTGACCTCTTTTGTTGTGTCTACCGTGATGTTTGAGCTGAATCAGATATTCTAATTGGTTGCATAGCAACTAATGCGGTTTTTTTCCTTGTATAAGTAATACATCTTTGTTGAAGAAAACTAGATATAGGTAGATCAAAAATATTGTAGATGTAGATAAGCAAAAAGGAGCTAGACATCATACATGCCTTACCTACCATCTAGACACTAGTGTATAGTCTACCAGAATGTTTAATTTTTGTCCAAACTTGGTTCATGCAAATAATCCGAATGCTAGCTTGTTGCTTTTTTTGATAGAAAAAATACAGTAAACATCTTTATGTGTGTCTTTATTTTGTAGACTTTATAGACTTGTCTGCATAGATAATAATTTAAACATCCAGGTCGTTCACAGGGATTTTGGCTGTTTTAAATACTGCTAAAATGAATATCTTATAATATGATCCCCATCCTCCCACCCCCCAAATTGCTTCTCAGAATGGTTCCCCTCTTTACATAACCACCAGTAGAATATGGGTGTTTCCTTTGATTTCAACAGTTCTGCTACCTAAACACATTTGAGAACCACTAGTATAAGCCTGTTCTAGGCTGGGCACAGTGGCTCATGCCTGTAATCCTGGCACTTTGGGAAGCTGAGGAGGGTGGATTACCTGAGGCCAGGAGTTTGAGACCAGCCTGGTCAACATGGTGAAAAACCATCTCTATTAAAAATACAAAAATTAGCCAGGGAGTGGTGCCAGGTGCCTGTAATCCCAGCTACTTAGGAGGCTAAGGCAGATTTGCTTGAATGATGTGGGAGTGGGGCAGAGGTTGTAGTAAGCCAAGCTCCACTTTACTCTCTAGCACAGGTGAAAGAGCAAGACTGTTACTCAAAAATAAATATAATTTTTAAAAAACTGTTCTTATTTTGAAAATATTCTTTTAAAATAACCGGTAGACGATATATGAACACTGGTTAACTCGGAAGGATGGAATTTGCAAGGATGGCAGGAGTTACTTTCTATATTTTTGGATTATTTCATTTACTATAATAATCAGTATTATTCTAATTAAAAGAATTGACAACTCAGAATGATCTTTAATTCCTCCATACTTTTTTTTCCCTTCTTTTATGGTAGAAACAACTGGTATAATTGGAGAGCATCACCCCACCAGTTAGGTAGTTGATCTTTTTTCGTAGTAGCTAGGGGAGTGGCAAATGAGCAAACTGGAGAGTATGAAAGGAAAAAAAATGTTTCCATATCCTGTGGCTCCCAGCTCCAATCTCCAGGGTCATTCCCTTGACCTAGACTCACAAAGAAGGACTCACATTTAGGAATTTGCCATTTAGAACTTAAAATGTATTTTGTCTTTCATAGAAAGTGTTATACATTATTGTTATATCCTCCAAGTAGATTTGAAAAGGTATTTGGCCACAATATAGTTCAAATTTTCAATGAAAAGGCAGTAGGAAACTACTGTTTTGCTGGTAACCATAGAAAACAAATACAAGAGTTAAGTAGGAGATAGTACGGATTTTTGTTTTTCTTTTTTTTTTTTTTGAGATGGAGTTTCGCTCTTGTCACCCAGGCTGGAGTGCAATGGCGCGATCTCGGCTCACCGCAACCTCCGCCCCCTGGGTTCAGGCAATTCTCCTGCCTCAGCCTCCCGAGTAGCTGGGATTACAGGCACGCGCCACCATGCCCAGCTAATTTTTTTTATTTTTAGTAGAGACCGGGTTTCACCATGTTGACCAGGATGGTCTCAATCTCTCGACCTCGTGATCCACCCGTCTCGGCCTCCCAAAGTGCTGGGATTACAGGCTTGAGCCACCGCGCCCGGCCTGTTTTTAATTTTTAAATGTTTTACTTAAACTTGTGTTTGAGAAAAGGCAAGTTTAATTGGAGGCTGAGAGAAAAGGCAAGTTTAATTGGAGGCTGAGGGAAGAAGAGGAGTGAATTTGGCCCCAAAAGTTAAATTGTCCATCTTCAAGCAGAAGACCAGTTAACTCTTAGATCAAATAGATGAAGATGTATGCACAAATGAACAAGTGTCTGCCTAACTTTTCTTTATTAGACAGCAGCCCTAGGAGGATTTGAGATATAAGAAGAAATTACGGCCTTTTCTCCTTGGATTAGGATCTCTGGTTTATTCTGAATCCAGATTGGGAAGCTGTGGGATCATCTTGACCCAACTGTCTCAACCATACTCTTCCAAAGCTGTTGTCTCCTTTGCAAGGCAGTCTGGATCTCTGTACCTAGGAAGGAATGAGGAAGAGATGAGGCTTAGTTACCTCTGGTGATCCACTGAGAACCCCAGAGTTGATATAAAGATTATTTTAAACTGAAGACATTTAAGATTCAACAGATGCAGAGAGAAGCTTACTTGGAGTTTATCTGGCTAAAAGCAAATACATGTCATAAATGAGGGCTGACATAAATTTTCCCTTTGGAGTGAGTCTGTTCCCAGGAGAGAGGCCAGGAGTAAACCTCTGAAGGGGAAGGGGATAGTCTGATGGCCCTAAGAAAATAAAGACCACTCATACCTATGGAGACAGACATTGTAAACTTGATCTCTCATTTGTTCTCCTAAAAATCCCATTTGTGTTCCCTAAAGAAATCTGTTCTTCCCAAAAGAGGTTTTTCTCCTATCCTTTCCTCTTCTAAGTTAGGTATATAAGCCCTAAATTCTAACTACTCAATTATTTATTACTGAGTGTGAGTATACATGTATATGTGTGTTGCACATATAAATACACTTTTTCTGCACCTCAAATGCCACTTTTTTGCCACTGAAATGATACCTGAGCACGGAATACCTTTTCACCAAAGTCCTGTCGAGAACTTCCAACTACCTTGAAGTTGGCTGATGGAATATTTAGACCTGCTATCCTTGGGTGCAGCCCTCCCGTGGTCTCTGCTTTATGCAGTAATGCCCATTCTCCTCTGTGCTGACTCCCCAGTTGGCTCACCTTCTCACTATGCTTCTGGTGTTTTGTTGTAGGGATACATGTTTGTTTACATTCTCAGCCTTCCTGAAAAAGTCAAGGGACATGCCTTTTCTGCCTAGCCCAACAGCTCTCTGCCCTATTTATTTCAGTATATATTGTTGCCTCTTACTAGAGGAAATTAAAGGTCTCAGGTATACATTTCCCGAACTTCTCGCTGTCACTTAACAAACTCACCTACGTTTATATCCACCCTAGCCATCTCTTTTAGCTGTCCCACCTCCAATAAGAATAGAATGACACCTCATTTTTAATACACATTTTTTGTTATAGTCAGACTTTTTTTGGGGGGGTTGGGGAGACAGTCTTGCTGTTGCCCTGGCTGGAATGCAGTGGTGCAATCTCGGCTCACTGCAGCCTCCACCTCCTGGGTTCAAGCATTCTCCTGCTTCAGACTCCTGAGTAGCTGGGACTACGGGCACGTGCCACCATGCCTGCTAATTTTCTTTGTATTTTTAGTAGAGATGGGGTTTCGCCGTGTTGGCCAGGCCGGTCGGTATCCAACTCCTGACCTCAGGTGATCTGCCAGCCTTGGCCTCTCAAAGTGCTGGGATTATTTATAAGCATGAGCCACCATGCCCAGCCAAACTTTTTTTTTTTAAAGTGGGTCTCTGTCACCCAGGCTGGAACATAGTGGCATGATAATGGCTCACTGCAACCTGGACCTCCTGGGCTCAAGTGATCCACCTGCCTCAGCCTCTCAAGTAGCTGGGACTACAGGCACGTGCCACCATGCTGAGCTAATTATTTACTTTATTATAGAGACAAGGTCATCTTGCCCAGGTGACTCTTGGACTCCTGGGTTAAGGTGGCCCTCCCACTTTTGCCTCCCAAAGTACTGGGATTGTAGACACTAGCCACAGCACCTGGCCTTGAACAATATTTTTTAGTATTGGTTATTTGTGTCTTTCAGAACTTGTCTGCCTTTTTTAAGTGTTTCTACTGGGGTATTTATTTTTTTCTTACTTAGGGTAAAAACAATAGAAGATACCCTCAAGAACAAGATAAATGCAAATAGCCAGAATTTCCATAATCGAGAAGTTACGAAAAGTAACAGTCAAATCAGTTGGAAAATATTTTGCAGCACTTAAAAGTTAACTACTCATTTAAAAGAGAAGTTGATGTCTTAACTAATAACAGACTCAAAAGTTTGTATTCTTTCACTTAGCAATGGATTCTAAAGACAGTCTTAAATACAGAAGACATTTTAAGTAAACAGATATGGTGGGGAAAATTAAGCACAAATGTTCAACAGGAAGGATTATAAAGTGATAACCATACATTGTAATTTCTTTAGCCGTTGAAAAATACTCTGTAATCAGAAAATTGGTCCCCTTTATATCCAAGTTTTCATCTTAGTCCCTCACAATTAAGACACAGACCCCTGTACAGTATTGCTGACAAACGCGTGGCCCTTTTTTTCTCATTCAGCAGTTACGTAGGCTCATATTCAGTGATACAGTGGTAACCAGAATATACATGACCCTGCCATTATGAAGCTTAGTCTAGCAGTGACTCTTTTTTTGAGACAGTCTCAGTTTGTCACCCAGGCTGAAGTGTAGCGGCACAATCTCAGCTCACTGCAACCTCCGCCTCCCAGGTTCAAGCAATTCTCCTGCATCAGCCTCCTGAGTACCTGGGCCTACAGGCACATGCCACCATGCCTGACTAATTTTTGTATTTTTTTTTTGAGACGGAGTTTCGGTCTTGTTACCCAGGCTGGAGTGCAATGGCGCGATCTTGGCTCACCACAATCTCCACCTCCTGGGTTCAGGCAATTCTCCTGCCTCAGCCTCCTGAGCAGCTGGGATTACAGGCATGCGCCACCATGCCCAGCTAATTTTTTGTATCTTTAGTAGACACGGGGTTTCACCATGTTGACCAGGATAGTCTCGATCTCTTGACCTCGTGATCCACCCGCCTCGGCCTCCCAAAGTGCTGGGATTACAGACTTGAGCCACCGCGCCTGGCCAATTTTTGTATTTTTAGTAGAGATGGAGTTACCATGTTGGCTAGACTGGCCTCAAACTCCTGACATTGGGTGCTCCATCTCCCTTGGCCTCCCAAAGTGCTGGAATTACAGGTGTGAGGCACCATGCCCAGCCAGGAAAAACATGTTTTAACCCACATTTGATTCCTCTGGTACATTTTGATGACACCTTTACAATGGTTAAAGTGGAATTTTGCAAGTTGAAAGAAAAGTCTTTTAAGAGGTGATTTCACTCCATGAGCTGGGAGGCAATATGGCCAACTGTCACTTTACTTTTTGGATATTGGGTCATTTTGTGTAACATTTTTGGATTATTTTAGACAGAATTATAGAAAATCTCCCAAGCTAAATGGGAACATTTTGATTGTATTACAGTATACTGCTTTATATGGGTGGGTGATGACAGTTGACATTTTTAAAAGTTTAATGGATTGTTGGTTTTATGGTTTAGTTTAGAAACTAATGGTTTAGTTTCTTTCTTTCTTTTTTGAGATGAAGTTTCACTCCTTTTGGCCAGGCTGGAGTGCAATGGTGCCATCTCAACTAACTGCTGCCTCAGCTTCCTGAGTAGCTGGGATTACAGGCATGCACTACCACCTCCAGCTAATTTTGCATTTTTAGTAAAGATGGGGTTACTCCATGATCATCAGGCTGGTATTGAACTCCCAACTACAGGCATGAGCCACCGCACCCAGCCTAGTTTCTTTTTAATACAGAATTTAAAAAAAAAAAACAATAAATACATGCTTGTAAAAAATTTAATACAAATATAAAAATACAGCAAAGGTCTCTGACATTTCCCATTCCCTTTACCCAGAGTTTACTTTCTGGCCATTTATAGTGTTCCAAGCCCTAGTTCCTACAACTTCATGAGGTAGGTACTGTTATGTCCACTTCATGGGAAACTGAGGCACAGAGAAGTGAAGTGACTTACACAAAGTTGTACAAGTTCTGCGTGGCAGAGGAGAACCAGGATTCGACCCCAGACATCTTGTTTCCAGAGCCCAGCTTTTGTCAGAGTTGACCTATTTTTTCAGATGTGCTCATTTCTTAAAAGGGAAGAATGGCAGAGATATCTAAAGAAAAATGGAAAGAAGGAAGGAAGGGAGGGAGGAAGTATGTGGATGTAAAGAGTAAAATGTATGCCTGGCTTCTGAAGAGGAAGTAGACAGGGTAGTGAGAAGTGGTTAGGCACTTACTATGTTATGGGTATTGCTGACTTGAAATCTGTTTCTTTCTCTATAAATGGGGGAAGGAGAGTGGTGGTAGAAAGAATAAATGTTTACTTCATAATTGAAAGCAATTATTAGAGTAACATCATTGGATTTTGTATGAGAGGATGAGGACATTGTTAATAGCTCCTGTTCTCTTTTCAGAGTATTAGCATCTCCCATATACATGCTTGATTAATGCCATTAAATATGGTAGGTTCACTAAAATTCTTTACAAAGGCATTCCGCCTTTGTTGGTGCAGTTAAAATGGTAATTTGCATCACTGTGAGTAGATCAAAGTGGGCTAAAAAAGTTGCAAGTTTCAGGGTGATCAAGAATGGCAATATGAATTATTGTGGTAGATCTGCATGTAGACTCTTAAATAATCAGTATTCAAAAATTCAAATCATCAGATGTGATGCTTTTTTTTTTTTTTTGAGATGGAGTTCTACTCTGTTGCCCAGGCTGGAGCGTCATGGTGCAGTCTCAGCTAACTGCGCCTCCCGGTTTCAAGCAATTTTCCCGTTGTAGCCTCCCAAGTAGTGAGATTACAGGCACTCGCCATAATACCCGGCTAATTTTTGTATTTCTGTAGAGAGGGGGTTTTACCATGTTGGCCATGCTGGTCTTGAACCCCTGACCTCAGGTGATCCGCCCGCCTTGGTTTCCCAAAGTGCTGGGATTACAGGCGTGTGCCACTGTACCTGGCCAGATGTAGCCTGAAAATGAAAACTTATTATCTAACAATTCTCTAGAAACATCTTTCTCATGTGCAAACCAGATCGATTTTTGTTTTGAATTAAGGACTCTTGCATCCTGATTTCTTCCCGGTGTCAAGATAATCTTGGCAAAGATTAATAAAACCAGAGCTGGAAAGTGTGTTGGTACAGAAATCTCTAGCCAGAATCTCTTAGTGGTCTTGGTAGGAAAAATAAAGCTTTCCTCTTTTCTGTGGTCATCTTCTGGGACTTAAGGTAGATTAGCCTAAAGAGTGTTTTCACTCTGTATTTGCATTTAAATGAAAGCTGCCCTTTGGGGAACAGACTGG